ATGAGATTAAAATTTGACTAATTGCACAGTTAAATTATGCAGTAATAAATACTATTACTACCACTATGCCTTACTATCAGTAACTGAAGAGTACAGTTCACAAAGATACACAAAGACACAACAGTGTACTGGCCATGGTCAGGATCAAACTGCTTCCCTCTGGTCATACAATGGTCACTTCACCAAATAAATGTGGCATTTTTCAATAATACAAAAAAGAAACTTTGAAAAAGTACATCTTTAGAAAGCTTTTCTTCTGTATAAACGTAAGAAGACCCTGGGGCTTTTCAGACATTGTCACAGTAAACTATTCAAACCAAAGTTAAACAAGAAAAATGTTCATAAATAAATACAGGCAATCACAATATATCCATATTGAATCATATAAACCATCAAAACATGGGTACAATTGTGCAAAGGAATCAAGTAAGATTTGAAGCTTTGAAAGCCAAACTGTGGTAGGAGCCTCTCATCTGTCGAACCTTTTTCTCATGTCCAATTCTTTTTTCTCACCAGTGAAAGTGGCGCTGAAGTCCAGTTTAGAGAGAAAAATAAACAGAGTGGTTATCCACAGGAATGTGAATGCTACTTTAGTGGCATTAGGAACATCTGAGACTGTGGTTTCAGATCACAGCGGGCCGTCTCTGCAACTTTGAACGAATGACAAGTAGCTTCAGTGTTTTATTCAAAACTGACATACTGGTAATTATATGTCCACAATATATACACAACAAGGAGGATATGCACAAATAAAGGGAGGGATCATGGGATCAATCAGAGCAGGACAAAATGGCAAATTAGCAATAATAATAACTTAAGTATTCAGAGCACACAGGACCCCTATAGTATAGTGCCCAGACCTGCTCTATAACCGTAGCTTCTTTGCATTGATTCACAATACTGCATTTCATATGGGCTTCAGAATAATTGTTTAATTAATGAGTGAAGTTGGCCACTGTCCTCAGTCCTTACAGCAATAATAATGGTGGGTTCACACTTGCACATTTACCACATCACATTGGGACTAAACCTGGACAAAATTCCAAGGTAGATCAGAACTAAACCAGGACTAGAACACGACCAAACCAAGTCCAGATCAGGACTAAACCATTTAAATAATGACCTATGCCTGATTGCACCCTACGGAATAACGCTCTTGCAACTTGGATTACTCTTGATGGTAACGAAACGGGAAACTTAAGCAGCATTTACCACACTTGACTAAATATTTTGCCCAGTGATGTTTATTTATCTTCCCAAATCTCTTATTCTATTTTTTTTCTATAAACTACATCAGCCACAACACAAAACCACCCTCAAATTTAACTAAGTCCAAGCTGAATTTGAAGTTACGCACACACTCTATAGTTGTTCCATTCACACACATAGATGCAGCCAGTGGACCTGCCATGTGTCAGGGAGACAGGGGTCAGATACTGTGTTTTGTGTGAGGGTTATATCGCTTGGGAAAAGGACTAAAGATCTCACCGGGGCCGCAACAGTGCCAACAATAACAGCCTGAAGTTTAACAGCACTGAAGGCCTCGCAATGACAAGAGGAAAGCAAGGGACCTCAAAGTGACTGACTCCAGAAACATATCCATGGGTAGAATGAAGAATAATTAGATCCATTGCCATAGTGATTAACAAAATACTATATCTTTTGAATGGTTATAAGTCCTTAAAATGTCACCTATAACTGAACACTGAAACTCAGGAACAAATTCTACAATTCATGGGTTTCAACTTCCTATTATAAGCAACAATTTGAGGACTTATTTCCATTCAAAACATACAATTTAAAAAGATAAGATTTTGTTTTGAATTGTTAATTATTATGGCAGCAGTCCTATTTTTTAATCTTTCTGGAATTTATGGATAGGAAGGAAAAGAGGTGGCTTTGTTAATTAATAGCTAATGTCCAAAGCGAAGCACTTTGTTTTCTGTAGACACTGTAAAACTACAAGACAATTTCGACAATGTACGTTTAAGCAGATTGGAAACACATGTGAGTGGGAAAAAGGATAATAGCACAGTTTAAAGAGAAGTCTCTCTGGTAAAACTGGACTCAATCCCATGTGGAGATGATATTCTGACCACATTTGTCATGGGAACTTCAGCCATGTAAACACGCAGCCTTGAACCCCTACTGACTGACACAAACAGTCAAATGTCCACTGGCCTCTGAGCTGCAGACCTCTGTAGTCACACTGCCCCCTAGTGAGGAATCTCGGTACAAAAAACACTGGCCATATGAATCTTTTATTTGTAGCCTATGGAGCTCTGTCTTTAAGCGCTCATGGCAAAAATTATGACTTTTTAATTAAAACAAAACACTGAAAGTTATTTTCTAAATTAACTGTACAAAGTCTGTTCATAATGTTGTCTTATTCTTTTTGATGCACTGAAACACATCTGGAGTCAGTTAGTCAAAGTGACTCTACAGTCCTGTCTGTCACATTAACTTTGAGGGAAATTCCCCCAATAGTTCTTTGTTTTCTGTAGCAATAGATATTTGCACTTTTAGCATATCAGCTATTGGCCTTACATCTCCAGCACTGACCGATATGTTGTTTTGCTGACCTGCTAAATAAAGAATACGCATTGACTCTTAAGAGAGCACGCAAAAAAATAATAGCATAAAACATACTACACATCCAGGTTTTGCGGCAAAAAGGGCTCTAGGTGAGTTTTTAGTAAATTTAAATTACATAATTTCAGGAAAATAATTCGGCCCAAAAATATCAGTTTATCAGCCATTGGTTTATAAAATGTCAGTATCGACACTGTCCATGAAAAAAATGCCTTTTCTTTGCTGAGTTGCTTTAAGGGAAAATGCCAAAAATTAAGTGGCAAAAGTTATTAATAACTCAAGTACAAGATAAAACTTAATCTTAAATTACACGTAAAAAGATTTAACCTAAAACTTTTGTATCTACTGTTAAATTTTGGGAGTGTTTGGTTGACAACTGGCATGAAAAAAATTTAATGTCCACACACTAGAATACAACAAGAACACAACTAAATATTATTATTGCCATATTTGTTACCTAAATATGCTCTAAACACATATATTGCAGGAGAACCACAGGAATGACACCTTCCCTGCAGGAAAATGCCACAATTTACTCATAGAAACACCAAATTACCGTTACGCCAATAGTTGCCTCATCCAAACATATAAATGCAAAAATTGGCCATCTCAGTAAAGAATTGTGTAGTTTAAGGACACCAGATATTTTCAATCAGAGCTTTGATTGAATACTTTGCCGTCCTCAGCAATGGCACACTCACAGATACACACACACATTGTTGACAGAGAGTGTCTTGAGCAACATCATTTACCACTTAGACCACTCCCCAAGGACTGTGCCATTCCTAATGCGTGGCAGATAGGTTGATAGCTCTGGTTTCTGTCGAGAAGTGCATGTCAATCAACAGCTAGCATCAACGTCACTGAGGCAAAGCGTTTCTGAAAGATCTTTTTACTGAGTGCCTTTCCACCCTGTTTTTCCCCATCCACACACACATGCACAAACACACATGCGGCCATTTCCATCCCAGCAATCACTTCTCCTAGACTTCTCCTCTTCAGACGTGTAACAGTAATTGAGGTTGCTCCCTCGGGTGCGCTGCATTCTGGGCGGTTAAGTGCTGTTTCTTGTTGTTTTTTTCTCAAATGGCTTGTATTTTGGCTATTGTGTTGTTTCGTCCTGCTCCTCTACAGAAGTGTAAGCAGTGGGCCATATTTACACGTATCATTAGAGAATAGAGACATGTGGCCCATCTGAGGGCTTATTTACCCACTGGAATATCAATCAATATGACAAAGAGCCTTAATACTTTTTGTGTAGTCCAAGTCACAGGAGAGTTGGGGAAAAGAGGGCAGATAAACTTTGGTCAAATCATTCTTTTGAGTAGAAAATAGACAATCTCACAATAGATTTCCTGGAAGAGGCAAAGCCCAGTGCGTCCCCATGTTAGATAGTACTAGCAGGCAGTGAAGGGTGTGCACTTGTTACCGTGACCTCGGCGCTCTCCGCATCAGGCCTGGCTTGAGTACACCACGCGACCTTTCTGCGCGTTGATGACGTTGGCGTCCAGCAGCAGAAGTGATTGATCTGGATTGACATAAACAGCCAGGGCCCAGCCTGGCCTGTCACACAGGATCACTGGGTCATTGTAGCATGCCTGAATGCCAGATGAGGAGGAGCTGAGAGGACAGGGGACACTGACCTGCTGCATATAGGATGGGCCTGCAAGAGAAAGTTGGTAGAATTAAACAGAACTGGAAAAAATAAAGTTGATGTGTCCACTTAAAAGATGAGTTAGAATTGTTTCAAATACCATACTAACAGTAGGTTTTAGGAACTAGGACCTGGGACAAACTCTGCCTCCTGCTCGTTTTCATGGAGATATTATTGCTTTGTCTAGAATGTTCCACAGTATGGCATTAATCTAGTTTAATGTCATAATGTGTAGAATATTGCAATTATATGCAATTATATTATTTTGTTAATATTTAGCTTTTTATACAGGCTAAAAGGTCAAAAGTCCAAGAGAGCCTGTCTAGATTGATTCTGAAAATCTGTATAAAAAATTTGCACTGGATTATGAAAACCAATAAAATCAGACAAAAAAGACATGCAGGCAAGTTTATTTTCCGCTTTTTTTCGTTACAATCTAAAGTTCCTTCCTAAACACATCTAATCTGTTACTGAGAGAGATTAAATCAATAACAGTTTACACTTTTAAATTATCTAATAACATTATAGCATCTAGCGTCTTATATGAATAGCAACCCGCCAAGTGCGATTTGTCGCTTTTACCTCTTTTTATCGTGCGTAATCATTTACATTCACATCACTGTTTTTGTTTTGTTTGTTTTTTTGTTTTTTTAATTGCAACAAATCCTAAAATAAAAACTTTATACCCTGGTAGCTTTAAGCAGGTTTGGTGACGACTCATTTCCGCCTGATCTTTCCTGTTTCTCGGCGGAGCGGTGCGCCTCCTGCCTTCTCCTGTAAAGAGGTGAACGGAGTTTACTTTGAGTTCGGCGTTAGTTTCGGTCTATCGCGGGGCAGAGGGTTTTTACAGCGGAGGACTGAGCCCATTTTCACCGCAGCCAACATGCTGAATATGTGGAAGGTCCGGGAGCTGGTTGACAAAGCGTAAGTGTGGCCATCGTCGTGTTGTTGTGTTAAAAGTTAATCTGATTTCGCGTGGACGGAGCTGTACCTGTTTGAGAGACACGTACCCAAAACTTTGACGTCACACACTGTACAAGTTTGCTAGCTTGTGTACGACTTTAATGGCCCAAACAAACACGATTTAGCATTAGACTGAGCTGAAAAAATCCACAAGACTTCACTATATTGCCTCTCTTGTTTGTTTTAGACGCCGCGGGTGTTGTTACGTTAATCTTAAATCTATTTGTGCAGCTGGATGTCCGACTGTGCACGCTAACCCACAGCTAACAAGCTAATTAGCCTTCTAGCTGTGAGTTAGCTGGCAGGGCTAGCCGGCTAAGCTAGTTTGACAGCTCATGAACTCATGAGTCCCACAAACATGATAAGCTTTAGGTTTAGTATAATGAAACATACAGTTTAATTGTTCTCAGACTGAAAAGCGAAAACAACGAAGGTCAATGAAGTCAACCCCAGGCTCTGCAGAGACATTTACAAACTTGTTCTGACACTTGTAGATTAGAATGGGTTGGGACACTGTTGCTTAAAGAGTCTTTCATAACTTTTGCCTGCTGTACATCTGTGTGATATGTTCAAGAGTTTATCACTCTTTCAGGCTCCACATGTGGTTTTCAGTTTTGCTGATCTTATAATTTCAAAGGAAGAGAAGTGGTTACACTAATATTACGCAAATTGTCATTGAGTAATAATCTGTAAATTATAAACAAGTGCAGACCAAAGAAGAAGCACCTGAAGGCATTTTGTTTTATGTATTTGGCAGTTTATAATGTAGACATCATATCCCACGCTAATACACTCTTGTCAGTTAACACTGGTAGCATCTCTTACTATTTTGTGAATTAGGCCAACATATACAGTCTAAGAGAGTGAAGAAAGTTTTTAAAGATGTACACAAAGTTACATCTCAGGTCAGAGGAGAGGCACCTTAGCTCACTCACAGTTACAATGTTTAAACAAGTTTTTCCAACGTATTTTTGGCACTAAAACTTCTGCCATTGAATAAATACCGTGGAACACTGGGAAAAGACCTAACATCTCCATGGAGACGAGCAACTGGAAACCCCCCACCAGAAAAGATACAAAGCACACCTTTAAGATTCTTTGTTATTTTGTCGAATACCAAAACACTAGATTTTGCATTTTTTAGCAACTACTACCTCTAAGATTACACCGCACAGTTTGTATGTCTATTGTTTGTCTTTATTCTGGTTCTGTGCACTGGTTGTTTTCCTTCTTCAAAGGTTTAATACTGACTTGTACGGACAATGGGCTGTTTTAAGTCCATCCAAGCGTGCATTCTTCTGGCCCAAAACAGCAGTCTCCCTGGAGTGTGACCCCTGAAACATCAAGTGCTTTCATAAGAAATACTCAACATGCTGTGATTGCCTCTGGTGCAGTTAAAATATGGCAACTTTCTCCTTGAATTATTTTAGTAAAGAAATCTGTCATCGAAACCAATTTGCTACTTGTTTTAGAAAAAGTTCTCTGAAATATTATAGCTCCACATTAGTAACTGAAATGGTCTGTTATGATGCAACTTTTCCTGTTTGATGATTAAACTTATTTTTACCCAGGCAGATGAATTCTCTAGAGATTAACTAGTTGTAAGTGCATAAATAGTAAGTGTATCTTATATGTTATATTTTAGCAGTTGCCAATATGCGCCAATGGATTATTCATAAAGCAGTCATATTGAGTGAAGGGTGTGATGGTGTGTCAGTGTAACTAGCATTGCCACTTCCTTTTATTTGCCTCATATCTGGGACATACACCGCCACCACAGAGAAGAGATAAGATGCTCCGTTCACACACTATCTTCTTCTGCAGTTTTATCTTTAAAATTGAGGGTGTTGTTGTATCTAACGGTTTTGAGATTCACATTTGAAAGTTGAAATACTACGGCTAAATAATATTGACGGAAAATATATCCTTTTTTTTTTTTTTTTTAATCAGGATCTAAACATTAATCCATAATGCATTTCAAAATATGTTGGTGTTCTGCAGGTTGGAAGGCTTTATACATATTTGAATAAGTAATGATTAAGTTTTGATATGCTTATTGCCACCATTTTGGTTTGATTGTGCTTAATCTTGTTGTCCTATTAGACTATCAAATCCTCAAGTGTAAGTAAAGTAGAGCTTACCCCTTATTTTCCTCATGTTGGTCACAATTTTTTAATTTTTATTTATTGAAAGCAAATATGTTTTTCAATAGTAATTTCACGAATATGATGTTAAATCGTTTAATTTGTAAAAGTCTGAATTCCAAACCACCACATGTAGTGACTGACAGGTGACTGTTGACCGCTCAGTTAAAAAGATCTATTATTGACTATTACAAATGAGGAAATGATGATGAAATAAATCTTAATTTTAGTTCAAATTTGATTCAATGCAGTGTCATATTTACAAGTGTACAAACTTGTGAAATATTTTTACATTTCTATCAACTGTTGTAACTTGTTTTTCCACATTTCTGTCCTCTCCAAAATAAGTTGTTTGAAAGAGTTTTTGTGTTAGCCTAACGTTGACACCCAGAGCAGTAACACTACAGCATGTCTTTGCAACCACAAACAGGGTGGTTTCTTCAGCAGCAAATCACAGCTCTCTTAGGTCTGTGCTGCTGATGTGGCATTCTCCAAGAGCATGGCTTTTCTACAACTATTGTTTAAATTTGAGAAAGTGCTTTGTCTGGTTGTAATATTACTGCTGCTTAGATTTCACAAATCCCATCCTAATGTGTAAACCTGAAAAGCAAGTAGCTGCAAGTCCACAGTGTCAAATACAGGTCCAAATGAGGCACTAAATAAAAGTGGTTTTCTGCTTGCAACACATTTACTGTTGTTCCATGTAATTCTTGGGTCCGATTTGCAACATTTACAGTGATGACAAAATTATAGATTGAAATTTACCAAGATTATTTGGCTATTTGGCTGTAATTATTCAATAGAATAGAATCAATAATGATTTAACATAGAAGCAACCATTTTGGAAGCAAAATAAATGTAAAATTCTCTTTGATACTGTTTGTCACATTAATTCACTCAATGTGAATTACATGCAATGTAAGGATTTGTTGTTTGGTCATGGTGTCTGTAATTGTAAATAATCTTTAAATTGTGAACTTTGCAACTGTGCTAATTTTTCCATCCTGTATTATTTTGCATTTAATACAAAAATTACCTTCGTATGTCTAGTCTCACACTTGGTTGTACTTGTAGTTTTAAATAGGTTAAAGTACACAAACCACTGCCCTTGGTTATAATGGACATTGTTTACTCAATATGAAGAGAATGGACCATAGAGGGGCGTGGCGGTAATAAGAGTGCCTTTAAATCATTTGGCTTTTATGTTGATGGTCTGTCAGCAACATTGATACTTATAAATACTATATGAATCTATAATTTATGCATTTGTCCCTTTTTTGTCTCTTTACAGAACCAACATGGTGATGAACTACACTGAAATAGAGTCAAAAGTCAGAGAAGCCACAAATGACGACCCCTGGGGACCTTCGGGGCAGCTCATGAGTGAAATTGCTCGGTAAGAATCATACAGACAGACAAAGGTCCTGCTGAAGCTGCAAGATCAACTAAATATTCAACATTAGTGCCTTTATTCAGTTGTTAAACAGGAGAGCTTGTGTTAAATATTTGATTTGTTCCTTTATCAGGTGTACAAATGAGATTAATTAATCCTATACTATTATGCAGCATTTACTCTTGTGAGTTTTATATGATGTTAGAACATTGTTACCTCCTCAAAAACCATACCTGAAGTCGTTTTGTTTCATTCACACATGTTTGAATAATCCTGCATGGAAACACTCTGTTCCACATGACGTCACGAGGTGGAACAGAGTGGTTTCTGTTTGAGAGAAGAACTCTGTCTAAATATGCAGGATTTTGTGTTAAACATGTGAAACAAAATTAAACTCCAGGTATGTTTTGGATGAAAAAACAACATTACAACATAGATCACAAAATTACGTAATATGAGCCCTTTAATGATTGTGCTAGTCCTAATCCTGCATATAAAAAGATTTGCCTCTCAGGAAGTGTTATGAAAAAACCTTGCAATACCATATGAATCACTCCACACCAGCAGCCAATTGTTTTGGCGATTGCACAATTAAACTATATAGTATTGTTGATAACTTTATTTTATTAGCTATCATTGTCATAGAGAATAATTAAACTACATATCATAATTTCCTATCATTACAGTGCGACCTTTATGTACGAGCATTACCAGGAGGTGATGGGCATGTTGTGGATAAGAATGCTAAAGGAAAATAGGAAGAACTGGAGAAGAGTCTACAAGGTCTGTATAGCCGTTTGGATGTAAAATAAAGAAGATCAGAATATTTGCATCATTTAATTAAAATTGCTTTGTCTCCCCCAGTCCTTGTTGCTGCTCTCACATCTTATTAGAAACGGGTCAGAGAGGGTCGTGACCAGCGCCAGAGAACATCTGTTTGATTTGAGGTCTTTAGAAAGCTACCATTTTGTAGGTAAGGCAATCTCACAACAAAGTAAGCTCACTATGTAACTTTTCTGGTGGAGGGTCCACTATCTACTTTCATGGAGATGTTATTGCTCTGCCTGGAATGTTCTACATAATGGTATTAAATGGTATACACTACAGTTACTTCGAGTGGTGTGACAGCAGCTTTTCTTCTTAGAGATAGGTTGAATACCATACTGTGAAACCTTTCAGACAAGACAATCTCCATGGAGAAAAGAGATCCACCAAAAACCTACGTAATGCACTTAAGCAGTGAAAAAGGCAGCAAATTGTGATTTAAATACAGTAATTATTTACAAATCATCTTTTTTCTGCTTATAGATGAAAATGGGAAAGACCAAGGGACTAATGTGCGTCACAAAGTGAAGGAGTTGGTGGACTTCATTCAGGATGACGACCGGCTCCGAGAAGAAAGGAAAAAGGCCAAGAAGAATCGAGACAAATACGTGGGTGTATCGTCAGACAGCACGGGATACAGAAGTTACTGTATGTATTTGGACATAACACTAACTAAATTACATTCAACTGATAGTTCAATATATAATGAAAAGAATAATATATATTTTTTCAGAATTATTACTTGTACCTTTTCATTTTTTTTCCTAATATTTATTTTCATATTAAGCCTATATGATAACATTTGAGTTATAGTTGGTTGAATAATTGACATTATATGACACATTATAGATACCGGAACTAACTAACTACAAATGGTAAATTGTGCTATTTACTTAGTACAGGGCACATTTCTTACAATATGGTTTACTTAGAAATAGGAATGCCACATTACAGTTTTCCCACCATGCGATACATATCTTGATACACAGGTCACGATATCGATTCAATTTTGATATGTTTAAGACGTGAAAAAAAAAATCTCATGTATGTCTCCATGTCTTTGATGGAGGGACACCAGTATCGAGCGATTCAATATTATATTGATTATCATTGAATCCCTACTTAGAAAAGGGTTTACCGGGATTATCCTGCTGTAGGGTTTTTGTGTTTGTGTTATAAAGTAGTTTCAGTATATACATCATTTATCATGATCATTTTTTGTAGCAATATAATGTACTTCAAAATGTGTTATTGTGACAGCCAAGCCTACGGTCAAATAACTTGGGTGTGGTGTTTATTTTCAGCTGGGGACCGGTATGACTCCAGTGACAGAAAAAACAAGTGGGATGACGATTTTGACAACAAATCACAGTTTCCATTTAGCGACAAAATCGGAGAAATCAGTGACAAGATCGGCAGCACCATCAATGACACCATCAACACATTTAGGAAGAAGGACCGAGACGATTCTCCAGATAGATTCAGGTAACTACTGTGAATTGGAAATGCTTTTGTAGGGGCTGCATAATTCTTACAAAGGTATAATTCTTGCTTAATTTGCTTACTTAGGCAATATCTATATATACTGCATTTCAGATGTGATTTCTTTTTGTAGAGCTTACAATTAAAATATTCAAGAAGTCCAGTTTTGGTCATATTTTTGCGATTTAGGTATATAGTTTTATATCTATGTGTTCCAGGTGTTGATTTTGACACAGTCTGGCTCTTACCATAAAATAAACTTGTCAGTATTTAAAAATATAGCAAGTGTATTGTTGTCGTTGTCATTAAATATTATTGGGAATTCTCATAATTACTGGGTTTTGTGCTAATTGTTTTATTGTAACATTTTTATTTTCTAACAGTGACCACGAGGAGGACAGAAGGAGATCTCAAAATGGCCAGTCGGCGAAAGAGTTCAAAGATGAAGAAGAAACTGTTACCACAAAAAGTGTTCAAATCGTACAGGCCACAGAAACCACAGCCACACGAAAGAAAGGTGTCCCATCCAAAAAGGTGGACCTCGGAGCTGCAGCGCACTACATGGGAGACAAGACCCCCGAGACCACACCCAAACATGTACGTATACACTGTTATGAGTAGTAGTGGTTAGGACTGCTGTACTTTTTTCAATATTAGTACGTTAACAATACTCGCTTTTCAATGCCAGTTCCTGTATGGTTCTTTATTTGAGGCCTGTATATTTTGTATGTGTAAATGAATGACTAATATTAATAAGAAAATATTTTGGAACCCTTGAATTACATTATAACTGTATTAATTCATATTTCAAAACAGATCTAGGCTATACAATTAAAACTCAAAACAAATGCACATGCAAATGAACCAGAGCACACAAGGTGAGCACCTGCGCTGCTCATATAAATAAATCGAGAGGCATTTAAAGCCAAGGAACCAAAAATTGGCTCAGATACCAGTACTTACCCATCCTTTTAAGGGCCAAGGCCAGCCCACGTAGGTTATGGTGCAGAGGTTGTTTGTGATCTTTCTCATTTATATTTCTAGACACAAGCTGCAGCTCCACAACCTTCCAGCACTGGTCTAGCTGATCTACTTATGGTAGACTCAACACCAAGCCAGCCAGCTGCCACAGGTAAATAGTACAATAATATTTATACTCCTAGTGAACTGAGAAAATGTTTTGGTATAATACGGTCATGTTTTTACTAAAGCAAAAGGGAAGTGGATCTTTCTTTGATGGCTCAAATCCATAACTCAAACAATTAGAACATGTGGATAATAATTTAACAATGTAAGGCATTTCCAAACGTAATTTTATTGCATCCCTTTTATTTTTATTTTATCATAGTTAATTATTCTTTATTCGGCATTATGGTGTAACATAAAAATAAAGTTCCTAGTTTTTGAAACTGACACTGACAGTAGCAATAAAACTTAAACATCAGTTCCTAATCAGAATCAGTTCCTGTTAAATCAAGTCTTACAACTGAACAACATGACAATACAATGTTTAATATACTCTCTGAAAACTAATTTATTGTTTGTAATACAATACAATATTGCCACACAGTGACATGTCATTGTAAGATTCCATACATCCATATATGCAAGAGAAAATCCTGCAATTATCTCTATTATGTTTTTTTTTTTTTAAATATATATAAATTAATGTCAATATCTAAGGTGAACTGAGTAGTTTTTTTTTGTTTTTTGAATTTTTTTCTGGTGGAAGGTTGATCACCTGTTTGTTTCATGTAAATGTTATTGCTTTGCCTGAAATGTTAAACAATATATGGTATAAAGTTGTCTATCATTAGTTTATTCAGTTACAGGTGTTTTTATTGCTTCACAATGCTCATCACGTTTTATACCATTCTCTGAAACATTCCAGGCAAAACAATTGTCTCCATGGTGAAAGCACTATTTCAGACCTTCCACCTAAAACTTTACATATTATCCCATATATGTTATAAAGATATAAATATAACAAATTCACTTCATATAGCGTAGCATTGTGTCATTCTAAATCCTGACTACCCAGAAGGCTCTTGTGTTGTCACATGCACATGCTCTCCTGATGCATCTGCGCTGTGACCAGAGCAGTGGGCTTGAAGTCTGTCCGAGTGATTTGAGCCTTAGATTTGGGAGACAGCAGTGGGGCGGGATGATGTATGGGACCTAAGTGCACCAGATGTTTTGGAGCGGTCCCTGGTGAGTGGAGGGCTGTAGTGCTGAACAGATGTTTGGTGTCTTCACTGCCCCTCCCTCCCCTGTTCATCTGACACTGAAGGAATGCTAACTACATCAAAATGACACCTGCAGGACTTTGCCTTAAAGCTAATGCTAATATGTTAACACTGGTTTCTACTTGCAGACTTGATCGGTGGGTTTGCAGACTTCACCTCAAACGCTGCTTCTGCTAGTCTCTCCACAAGCACAGGTTAGTTACACTGCTCTGTCTCCTTTGAGTTTGAGCTTGCGTGTGTTATGTTGTGTTGGAGTAACTGCTAGAATATTCAGAGGGATGCTGGGAGGGAGCCCTGGCCATATGGAGCCCGCTACCTGCTCTGCATAACAAGAACAGACAGATATCAGCTCCTGTTATGGATGACAAGGAGACTGGGACAGAGCAAGAAGTTGTTGGGGGTGAAAGAAGCTAAGATAGATTTAGAAAAGGATGGACAGCAGGCTATGGCACTATGAAAATTTAAAGTGTGGCACAGGTGGTCACGGAGAGGCCTGGATAAATCTAGACTGGTCACATAAAACGCCTGCTTCCTCTAAACTGCAGTGACAGGCTCGGTTTTGCGTGCGTGTTTTTTGTTTGAAATAATTTACGGAGTTCAGAGTGCAAACATTGAACAGAGTGGATGGCGCATAAACGTACATTAAAGGGCCTGTACCTGATTTTAACGTACAGTATTCTTGTCAAGATAAATACTCTTTACATCATGCATTGTACGGTAAATGCTGCTAAATAAGAAAAAGATTGTAAAATACAATGTATTCATTTGAAATAGCATTTCCTCTTGTAATAACTAATATAGAAGCTACAGGGTCACCTTTTTTCATTCAATCAGGGACATTGTTACTTAGAATCATGGGAAACCAGCTGCCTGGCACTATCCCAGATAGTTGATTCTGTCATGGTGTATTGTCAAGAGTGACGATACTGCAAGTAGTAAGCACAGATTTGAGAACTATAACTAAACAACTGCATGGCACTATCCCAGACAGTTTCTGTGGTGCAATATCACAGAGACAGAAAGAAGTGGGCAGGGCTGAAAGTTCAAACTAAAAGATTTTCTTGACTCATGATTTAAAATCAGGTACTGGCCCTTTAAATGCCCTTTTGTCTGTGGTTCAGCAGTGACAGGGGGCTCCAGCAGTAATGGGGACTTTGGAGAGTGGAACGCCTTCCCCGGGGGGCAGATGCCTGTGGCAGCCCAGTCTCCAGTCCAGTCTCCAGATGTGGGCGGGACAGACTTGTTTGGGACTGCGTTTTCGGCTCCGCCCCCTGCAGCCCCTTCTGCCTCGGCCGCCCCCTCAGCAGACCTGTTTGACCTGATGGGCCCAGCACAGACCCTCACTGCGTCACAGAGTCTCAACTTCAGCATGACACAGAGCATGACCTCTACCATGCTCCCACAGTCACAGTCTCAGGTTTGTATTGGCACAGATCGCATGGATGGGGCATTCTGTACTTGCTCTGACACACATTGAAATGCATGAAAAGTGTGTTTTCAGGCTGCACAATGTTACAAAACAAACAGTTTTTCTAAGTATTGCTATTGTGATTAAAGTAGAATTGTGTTGAGAGTGCATATTGTAAACAACTCCAGGAACATCACGATTTGAGAAAGGATTGAACTATGAACTGATAAACATGTTCTGAAATGCATGGGATTCTTGTATTGTAGTCTAAACTAATTAGAGGTACAACAAGATCTTTCTATTCACATCTTATTATGTAAACAATTTCAGGCTTTGTGATTTGAAAACTGCCAACTCAAATTGTGATTTCAAGTCATAATTGAGGGATGGAGCTTTATTAGATGGTGTGAACCAGAGATCATCAAGGACTTCTGTTTGGTGTCAATAATAAAACTGTGATTCATACAACACTTAAAACACTAGGGATCTTAACATTCCTAGTTGGTACCAGTGTTTTTCATCATAACATTTCAGTACCCATATTTCATGTATGATTAACATATTAGTCATGATTAGGCTGAAATAATTTCCTTTTGAATAATAATAATAATAAAAACTTGTATTAATTGCTGAGATATTAAGTGTTTGTTGGTTTAAATTGTGGTCCTTAACTACAAAACAGATTTTTATAGTGTAGTGTGAATACTACTGTCAAGCTTTTTCATTATTCAGTTTTCTGTAAGCACAATAAATATGAATCTTTAAATGATTGTTAATAGATATGTGCAGTGTCTCTATAGGACACAGACAGGAGAGCAGTGAGTTCACATAGAGCTGCAGCAGATGCTCCTCTCCCCAGAGACCACGCTCTAACCACCCACCACCCCATCAGCACCCCGGTGCAGATTTAAGATACAAAACATTAAACCATGGTATATGTCTGAGCATGTACCACTAGGTTTCTGTGCTAAAAGGTGGTTGACCTACTTAAACCTCACTGATAAGACGCCCACTGCCTCCTTTACTCTAGTTATCTTAGACAATATGTTTTAATGAGAATTTGTAGCAGCAGGTATCGGAGTTAGAAGTGGGTCAGGTTTGAGTAATGACAGAATCTCTCTTCTAATCATGTATTTAAAATTTATGGCAGAATTCCAGCATATGTATAAGTCAGGGCTGTTGAGTTTGGAAACAAAATCTGATTGTGATTTTGCCAAGTATTGCAATTTTTATGAGATTTGCAATATATGTTCACAAAGTAGGATTCTGTTCAGGTGCACACTGTAAACAACTCTGATTTTGAGGGAAAACTGAAGTATGAACAGCTAAACTAATAAAAGAATCCCATGCATTTCAGAACTTGTATGCAGAGACCTTAAATACAGATATATCCTTTTTGTCATAACATAATTCTGAGGACACTCAGGAAATAATTGCAGCCTTTGTGGTTTGATAGGTATGCCAACTTAAATAGTGATTTGGATTTGATTGCGATTAATTGTGCAGCTTTAGTATAAGTATGTGTTTGATCATGTGAATTTGCTCTTCCAGCCTTTCCAGATGGGTGGCCTTACGCCTCAGCCCATGCAGCCTACAGGACCTGTTCAGGGGGTCACTCCCAAAGCAGCACTGCCCTCCACCTGGACCGACCATTCTGTGAACATCAGCCTGGATTTCCTGGGACAGCAACCCCCCAAGCCTGCACAGCCAAGTCTCAACACCCTCCAGCAAGGTGAGACAGAACAACACAAACTACTCTAGGTCTGTCAGGCTCTTTGGCAATGAGTGTTTAGTTTTTGTAATAAAAATGTACTGCGCCTTTTTGATAATTGTGCACAGGAAATAGAAAGTGAGAGCAAGTATTTCTGATGAGGTGCAGTGTGTTCTGGTGGGTCAGCAGAACTACTCACTGCTGTGACTGTGGCTGCTCTTTGAAATCCTCTTTTTCCATAGAAACATACACACAGTAGCAGTACCATTAGAATTGTGATGTATATACTTCAAACTATTCTCACTAGAATTCACAGCTTGGATGAGCAATATGTTAAAGTTAAATAAGCTGCGGTGCACCTGCTTGTTTGTGCTTGAAATGTTCCACAGTATTGCATTAAATGTGTCCATCTTCATGAAGACAAGCTGGTGGCACCACAAGGCAGAGTTACCAGATCTCTGGACAGGTCATCTCACTCACATTATGAATGCATGCTTTTTAAGGAATTTCTGAGCCCACAAAAATAATAATTGAGTCAATTAATTTTTGTTCCATTTAATGGCAGACTGTTGAACATTCTAAGCAACTCAATGTCATGTCCATGGAGATGGGTAGAAAAGTCACATGGTACACCTTTTCAACATGGGAGAGGACTAATACATTTTATAATATTTTACACCTTCAGAGAAAAGTGATCCAAACACTAGCACCATATCAGAGCCGTATCCATTACAGTTGTTAAATGTATTAATTCAGTTCTGATATTTGCAGGAAACCAGGCACAGGCGACCATGCTGTCCCAGGGCTTTTCTGCCATGAACCTGGGTACAACCCCTGTCAGACCCACAGGAGCTCCCATGATGCACCCAGGTGCTCAGATGGGCATGGGGATGGGCATGGGCATGGCTCCTAACCCAGGCATGATGGGAAATATGGGCATGAACATGGGTATGCCTCACGCAGGTATGACCATGGGGATGCCTGCTACTATGGCGATGGGAGGAATGGGGATGTCCATGAACCCCACAATGGTCCAACAACCCAAACAACTCGACGCCTTTGCTGATTTTGCCAATTTTGGGAAATGATGGAGCAGAGGAGAGCAGTGACTTGTGAAGGATGGTTTCTCTCGCTCTCCGTCGCCATGGTGAAGGATTGTCATGAGCTACAAACAAAGAGTACTTGAATAATGTTGCCTTTGATTTTACCAACAACCTCTGATCTTGTTTTAATGCTGCATCTACAGTAACTGAATGTGTGTCGTTTCAACCAATGATTCGTCCGGCCAGAGGGGGTGCTAGAGATGTGTGCCGTGTTGGTTGACTTTGGATGAAGGTGCCACTGTGAGAATGTCTGCTTTGTAACCTCAATCAAGTCAGAATCACCAATAGCAAACTTTATACTTTGCTGTATAACATATATCCATTTACAGTAGTACAAATGACATTATCAGCCATTTTAACTGTCTAATGAACTTTTGGAAATGGTAAGTTACCTCTTGTTTGTCCATGTTCTTCCTGAATTGTAAATAGAAATCTAAATCCCCAATGAAATAATTTATGAATTCTCTGAAAGCCAGTGACAATGTAAAGAGTTGTATCATAAAGGCCAAAAAATACATTAATATTTGAGCCTTGGTGTCACCTTATATCTGTACATAGATCTACGCACTCCAAATATGACCGATCCTCACTTCCTTACAAATGTTTATAGTTTTAACAAGTTTAAGTTTTCTTCCTAATGGCCTTAATTTTTAAACTATATTCATTTATATAAAAAGAAAAGAGATAATCGGTGAGAATGATGCAGGGTTTGTGGGTATTTGAGTGCCTGTAAGCCTTTTCTTTTACAAAACCTTGTGATTGTGCAATGTACAAACCAAATGCGTTTGTATTCGATCTGAAGCCATGTGTCCAGTTTTCTACAGATACGTGTGTGTTTAATTCAGGTAAAAATCCTCATGCTCTTTTTGCCATTCAATCTTCAGGCCAGTGGAAATGTACAGGACCTGTCTATGACCTATCAGTGCCCAAAGTGCAACTCTTTCGAAATACTGCCTTCTTCTCACCAAATGACTTCAGACTGTTGAATCCGTTTTTTGTTTTTTTTTTGTATGTGTTAAGGTACAAAATCTTTAACGAAAATCCAAAATGTTTAAATGCTTGCTGCAGCATTGACACAATATGGTAGTGTGTGTGTGTGTGTGTATATAGTAATAGCAGTGGAATAAAAAAACGGATAAATCCCTATTTTGGTAGGATATCATAGTTCTATAAAGGGGTAGAAGTAGTGGTGTATTAGCAAACTACTAGACCAGCCATGACGTGAGCTCTACCCGAGTTTAAGTAATTTGCGGTACAGATCTACGGCACAGGGGCTAAATGCGGTATTTTGTTGGCTGAAGTAAACAGACGATAAAGGATAATATTGAAACTAATTTATACCACGACAACCCAAGAGCAGATTTAAACCACTAATACTATTCTAAATGTTTTTTTTTTTTTTTTTAAAAGCTGACTGAAGCACTTCAGTACACAAACATTTCCTAGTAGTGCGAAGGAAATGTCCTCACGATAAATATTTACCACAAAAGAATATTGTTCCATTCATCATATATTGAACAATAAGTCGATATAGTAATAATTGTGACAGGCCTAGTTGAATTTGCATAATTGTTGTGGTACTTTTTACTGCAAACTGAAGTAATTCTACCACTTTACCCACAATGACATAACATATAACTGTGATAAAGACTAAGTTAATGTTTCAAGCCCTTGGCATGGTGGCTCTGTCAAAGCTATGTAAAATGCACTTATCTGAATGACCTGCTCACCAGTCAGGGGGCCTCCATTTCTCCCCATATTTCTATACGTTTCCCTCTGTAAAAAGAGAAATTGAGACACCCCTGAACTGTGATATCTGCCAAAATGAATTCATCTCTTTTGGCTTCCCTGTTATTTCTCACACTACTGTATATATGATGTGCACTGTTTGGACTAAGTGCCTGACCCTTTATTTTACTTTGTGGCCTTTTCTTTGATGAGAAATAATGCAGTCCGACAGGGAAGGGGGTCGGTAACATACAGTAGCCTATCATAATCTAAGTATCATCATAATCTAATCATTTTAATGACCAAAATCAGTTTATTTTTGTAATATTTAGCTCATTTTTTGTGTACTGAGTATTTTGATTGTGGAGCTGGGATTGTTACTGAAACACTAGTGTATATGCAAATCCTTCCAGAGAATTATCTTTTGCATTATATATCCATTTTGATTTGATTTACAAGATTTATTTACAACATTAAACAGTTGATTGAAATTTGTTAATGGCGTGTGTTATTTGGTGTGCTATATATCATTAGTCCCATTTAAAAGAGCTTCGAGCAGCAAATCTGTAGCCATAGCGCTCGACTTTGAAATTACATCAAGTTATGGAAAAATTAAGCATAAAACTTTTGGAATTAGAAAGAGAAACAATTTGCGCTAAGGCTACAAGTAATTGGGTTTTAACTTTATTCATATCAATAGCTGGTTATTTAGTACATTGGTTATATACTACAAATATACTGCTATACTTCTTAAATTAAAATATATAAAATAGTATATAATTTTTATGCAGTTATAGTAATTTATATGTGATGGATTTACTATTTGAATAACCTTGTCTTCAGTTGCTGCAGATTTCAAATTCCATGTTTTATGCTGGATTCTCTTAAATATTTTTCATGTATCTTGGTTTGAGATGAAAAAAAAAAAAAGTATCACATAAAAAAATCTACGTAAGTAAAAGTATTAAAGCACACATTTAAATTGTAAAAATAAAACTATTTTGCGCAGATTTTGAGATCTAATAAAGCTTTGAATGTAGTGATTTCGACAATGATTTGGTGAATTTTGTTCAACAGAAACAACTGAATCAAAATTATGAACTTGATAAAAATAAGCCCTCAGTCTTTCCAGCTGGTCTTAAAGAATAATAAAAATACCTTTAGTCATCAATCCTATTAAAAAATGTAGTGGAGTAGAAAGTACGAAGTACAACACATATCCACTTTAAAATCTACTTAAGTACAATATCTTTATAGTTCTGCTAAAAGTAACATGCAAAAATCTCCAAGAACTAGAACTAGACCAAAGACTGCATTTTAGTTCCACCTGCTCTGAATAGTTTGATTTTACAGTTTGATAATTGATCTGGAAACATTAAAACTGTATTTAAAACTCACTAATATGAATTTAAGTGCCTAAATGACCTGATTATGCAGGCGTATATATAGAAAAGACAAAGACACATAGAACAGTGGTGCCCCAGCCCCTTAGTGTAACTTCTGTGCCCTCCTCATACTCCATCAAAGCTTGTTAGAAACTCACTTGGTAACAAATACAAGTAAAACATGGCTCGCGTTAAACAATTGACCCCATTTTCACTCTCTGGAGATCGAGACTGATAAATGGGATACACTAATAATATTCTGAAACATATGAAAAGTATAGTTTCAACACAGCTCAGCTACTTTGTCCCAATTATGCTTTATAAATGTATGGAATATATATATATATTGGAAGAAGGTCACACCAACTTATACTCAAAAGATTTAAACCTAGTATCATTTAAAATGTTACATATTTATACTTTTTTTTTTTTTATTTAGAACATGTAGATTTTCCAGAAGGACATCTTTTGTACCCATTCTACAGAGGGATGGATGGGATGTAAAATATTTGATCATAACAAAAAATGGTTCACTGAAAGATTGCATAGTTGTCTATGCAGACTTTTGCCATTATTATACATTTTTTTCTCTTTATTTGCTTATTTCTAATAAAAACACTGAGTAGCTACTGTTCTAGAAAAAATCATAAAAACTATAATTTTAAGCCCACCTTAGTGTAGTTTAGTTTTATCAGCCCACACGTTAGACAAGTTTCTCAAAACATTTTAAAAGTAGTCATTCTTAACTCTGCATCCACAAATATCCGCTGCCATTCAAACAGAAAAATGCAACATCTTTACAACTTCTCAGAGATGCAGTAAATTGTGCTTTTATGGGTAATGCGCCCATTAAAGAGTAAAGGCAATAAGAGACGTCAAGACAAATGACAGCTTTTGAGTGCCATCTGCAATCTTGAGCTTCGCAAACTCAATTATTCATAATGCATTTATGAAGCCCGCAGAGACTGCGCTGTCATCCCTGTTCAAACTAACGGTGAGACGCAACATAAAGGGACAAGCTCCGCGGGATGACAATGGCCTCACACACAGCACTCACGGGTTTTTGCTGCCACCTTCTGGGGAAAAAGAATACCTCCAAAACATAATTCCTACTTGGCTCCAACTCAAATTACAAGGCTGGGTGGAGAGTGTCAAAATAAATTAAATCCGGCTGTAGACAGCTCAAAGAAGAAAATACAAGAAATGACTAAAATTTGTACAGTGTGGTCGCTTTTATTTTATAATATCAAATAACTTCTTTGATTGACAGAGAAATAAAAAAATATATCAATATGATACATTAGGCTTCATTTGATTCTCAAGAACTGAGAAATAACACTTACTGATATTCTGCCATGTTTTTACAGTTCACTGATAAAAAAAAAAAAAAAAAAATGATGCTATTGATTTTCCACTATCAAACTATAATACAAAAATTTGCTTCTCACCAATTATGATGCAATATAATTACCAAATAGCAGGTCTTCAGCCTAGTTTCAAAATGTCTGTGGGCTGACAAGCACGACATTCTCACCGCGGATGAAGAGTTGGTTGATGTGTCTCGTGTGCACTTTGCCGTATGTCTGGGGGACTTTCTTTTCCACAGCACCTCTGGAGTCTATCGGGGCGTCTCCTTTGCTGGTTGAAGATTCAGTGTCTTCTGGTTTGATTTGTTCTGTATTTGTTGCTTCTTCTGCACCCACATTTTCCTGTAGCTTCAGCTTTTCAAACAACTGCAAAAAAATTCAGGTAGTTCTATTATTCTGATATTTTACCAGATGGGGACATGAGAAAATAATCTGTACTAAAAAAAAAACTGAAATAGTCGTTTTAGGAATATTTATATATCCCCAAATAAGTATAGCAGTAAAAAACAGATCTGTAAGAAGAGCTGATCAACAATTATTATAAAAACACATGCAGTGTAATTTTTCAAACATTAGTACAGTGCGATTTGACATTTCTGCAACATAGTGTTCATTTTACAGTATATTCATTTTTTGTGAATTCATTATTCACATTCATTATAAAGACAAAAAAAAAAAAGTAAATACCCTTGTAACAGTGAGAGCTTTCTCATGGTAGAGAGCTTGTCCGAGAAGAGGTTCTCTATAAGTCTCATCAACGTCCACCATTGCCTGAAAAATATCAATCATGAATTCAAGTTAAAAATAAAAATAAAAAGTAAACATAAAAATAGCTTACCATATTCCAAAACCTGTCAAAAGCCACAATGAAGCCGGAACAGATGCCTCGGAGCCCCTTGAAGGTTCTGATGTGGACTCTGACTCTTATTCGCTCCTGAACAAATCTGTAGAGTTCACCCAGAGGACTGCCCTGGCACACTGTGGAAAGAAGAAAAGGTTGCTAGTTAGAGAAATAGAAATTTGCACTTGCACATTAAAACCTGCTTGTCTTCACAGAGAGTATAAGTGCGTGTATTTAAGATGTTTCTAAGGCATAAAACACCTGTGACTGGACACATGCATGTAACATGAAATCTTCATTTTCATAGTTGAACATTTCAGGCAAAGTAATTCATTAATTCATCTCATTCTCCACTGACACACTCCACTGACTAGAAAAGTTGCATAGTGAACCATAACAACTAATAATATACTCTTTAAATGTTCAGCTAATTGACTTATCTTAAATAATCTATCAATAATCACAACTACAGGCTTTGAATACAGTACAAAACCCACACTGTGTTGATATCTTGCATGTATATTCTAAATGATGATGATGATTGGACTGTATCTTAAAGGACCAAAAAGAGTAGGCTTTTGAACCCACGTGGCATCCTCGTGAGCACATTTTTGACAGGTTTGTCCCTCCTTCGCCGCTGGGTGCCGCTGCTCGCGCCCTCCTCGGACTCGGGTATTGGGTTGTTTACCATCAGCTTCTTCAGCCGCTCTATCCTCTCCAGATCCACCACTCCTTTCATGGCCTTTCTCCGCCGTTTCTCCACATTTTCAGGCTTGGCTCCTCTAGCTCTGCTGCCCTTCAGAGCGCTCTCGTACGCGGCTATATTATTGAGGCATTTTGCATTTGGGAAAGGGAGCTTCACAGTGGGCGAATACAAGGCTAAAAGTGGGTTAAACTTCTCCGAGCACACATCAGTTTCGTCCTCGTCATGGTCTCCACTGTCTGCGACTTGGACACGCTCCTGAGCGCTCGGTGTTTTTGATCCAGGTGTTGATTTAGCCTCTTTACCGTCGGGTTTGCTCCCCTTTCTTTCACTTTCCTCCATGTGTGACGCTGCTATAGACTGTCTATGGACGCTACCCGGGAAAGTCAAACATCCGGGTATCGCGTGTGGTCAATTTGAGCGTTCACTCTGCCTAATTTTAACATAACCAAAATTAGTCATACCAAAAATGTAGCATTTATTTTCGTTTCTGCTATTAGTCTTTGCTATTTTAATGTAATAAGGCACTTCATTAATCACCTTTTATCCCATTCAAAATTACGGTAAACGATACACATATCTTCACTTCATACAATCTTTGAGCACATGCAATTTCCCTTTTCACCACTAGATGGAGACAAACTATCATTGTGTTGCTCCGTTGGGGAATGCTATATGCTATACTGAACGTGATATTGCCCATACATTTTACCAGTAATATATTTATACCACAGCAAATAAGATTTTATATAGTTGATCATCCTAAAATGTTCCCCAGCTTTGTTTAGCACACTTTGTAGATACGGCGGAACCTTTGTTCGTTTGGCTCGTCGCTCACTACGGCAGAGTTTGGCGACGGACTGTATACAAACCAACGTGTTTACAACAATCCATACATTCGTGTAAGGACCTGATTAATTTGCTTATTTTACATTGAATAGTGTTAGTCAGTAAACTTGACTCGGGTCAAAAGACGTACAAAACTATAACCATTCTTAGAAAAGTCGTGTGTGGTTTCTGAAAGTGCCAACTCCAAGCATGACCATCTAAATGTAAGTCTATAGATTCTCCTCGAAATGCATTAAACTACAAATTAAATTAAGCTATTGTAGATGTTGTCCTTCTAGACTGATTTTCTAACAACACCTCTCAGGTTAACTGTCATTGGAACCGGCAGATTGTGTAAAGCTGCCCGATCCAGCCTCGTCAAACCACTAGCAAGTTTATCCATCAGTTCCAGTGTTATGGCCAAGAGCAAGTTTGAATATGTCCGCAACTTTGAAGCAGATGACACCTGCCTCAGGAACTGCTACATTGTGGTTAGGCTTGATGGTCGCAACTTCCATAAGTACATCTTTCTTTCTAAGCATAATATATGATAATATATTCAATGTTTAATTATGTAAATATTTCTTTTAACAGATTTGCTGAGCAGCACAAATTCACAAAACCAAATGACAACAGAGCACTCGGCCTGTTAACTAGAAGTGCTCGTTCTGTGATGGAGGAGCTTGAAGATATCGTCATTGCCTATGGTCAGAGTGATGAGTTCAGTTTTGTTTTTAAGAGGACAACCAACTGGTTTAAGAGAAGAGCCAGGTAATAATGTTAATAAATATAGCTTACATTCATGCCTATAGTTTAAAGGTGCACTGTGTAACTTTTTGCTGGGGGTTCGTGAACAGCTTGTTTCTATGGATATGTCATTGCTCTGCCTGGACACAGTATGACATTAAACAGCTCTACTTTACATTTGTTTATTGTATGTATGAAAGTGGTGTGTGCATGAGTGATGGTGGTGGTCGGAGGGGCCAATGGCACAGATTTGCAACTGCGCTTCTGTCAGTCTGCCCCAGGGCAGCTGTGGCTACCATAGTAGCTTACCACCACCGTGTATGGAGTGAATTAATAATGATCTGTAAAGTGTCTGTGAAAGGCGCTATATAAATAAAAACTTAATATTTATTCAATAACAGGTGGTTTTATTGCTCAAAAATACCTAACAGGCATTCTGACAGCGAGCAGGATTGCCTTTCCACAGATCTGACCTGTAACTTAGTCTGGTTTGGTCTCTATGAAGATAGAAAGGTTTAATGCCATACTGTGAAACTTTCCAGACAAAGCTATAGCATTTCCCTGGAGAAAAGCGTTTGACGGACCCTCCACCAGAAAAAAGGTGCATAATGCATCTTTAAGATTGAGCTGGAGGAACAGGTCAAAATTCTATTGTGAAATCTGATGTTTAACTGTCACATTGGATATGTTTTGACCACGTTTATAGTGAATATCTCTTACTGGGCCTATTTACATAACATAAAAACTGGCACAAATGTCTTCTCTGCCAGCATAAATAAAAATGAGTTTGTTTTAAATTATTTTTTTCACAAAAGGTAAGTAAGGGGTGCCATATTATTTAACCCCAAAGGCACAGTTGTCATCAACTGAACGGACTGTAAGCTTTAAGCATAATATGGACATTTGTGGAACCAATGCCAAACAAGTAATGATAAGATTTAACATTTGTGGGTCATAAATTTGGATACATCTTTCAAAAACTATAAATCTCCCATCCATTTACATAGGCCTTTGCCTTTCATCCGAAATGATGATATCTTTACATTTTTGAGTGTGAACGAAACCTATTTACAGGTAGTCTAATTGCTTATTGACTAATATTGCCTATATTCTCTCATGTTATTTCAGTAAACTCATGACTCACGTAGCCTCCCAGTTCTCATCCTCGTATGTGTTTTATTGGAAAGAGTTTTTTGGGGAACAGCCACTCTTGTATCCTCCGGGCTTTGATGGGCGTGTTGTCCTGTATCCTAGTAACCGCAACCTCAGAGACTATTTGAGCTGGAGGCAGGCTGATTGTAAGACATGTGCATTGCACTTGAATATAATTATTATGGGAAAACACTGGAGCTCATGCAGTGTTTAATGTCTGACAGGTCACATAAATAATTTGTACAACACAGTCTTTTGGACATTGGTGCAGAAAGGAGGATTAACAACAGCACAAGCTGAGGAGCGCTTAAAGGTAAAACAGACTCAAATGTATGATATACGTTGTATCAAAAATGATAATGGTATTGATATTGTTCATTTGTGACCATATGTCTTTATCAATGCCCAGTCTCATGATGTTGGGAGCTAAGCATGTTTGTGCCTGGTTAGTATTTAGATGGGAGACCACTGGGAATACCAAATACCACTGTGGGGCAACAATGACTCTTGAGTGCATACTGCCAAGTATGAATGAATAATGTAGGAAATTGTAAACCGACTTTGAGAACTTTGAAAACAAATGCATTATTGTTAATAATATTATTTTTGTTGGTCCATTTATTTAATCTTTGTGTGTTTTTTTCTAAAGTGTATAATTAAAATGTCAAAACCTTAGAATAGTGCTACACATGGTTTTGTTGTTTTTAATGCCAATAGTAAACAACAATGTTAATGGAGGCAATCAAGATCAAATGAACTGTGATCTAGGTATGAGTCCATCTCTGGGACTAGAAAAGCTGATATGTCCACACACATAGAAATACACACAAGCCTGTTTCAGGGTGGTCATCAGGTCTGTCAGTATTTGAAACAGCTGCAGTGCTGCTTTATTCTCTGTTTCGGAAACACAGATGAGGCGACGACAGTTGATGAAATGGGGAAATGTTCTGGTTGGATGTTTGTGCAACACAATCCCCAAAATATTTGTGTCATGCAGAGTTTTGTGTATTCTAGATTGTTCCATTTGTTTTTGTGGCCTACTGACCCTAATTTAAAATGCATGTTAGACTATTGATTTCACTTAAACATAGTTAACACGATTATGCTGCTGTAAATCTTAGTTTTCACAGTTTGACAGATTTAGTGAAGTTAATGATTTAAATACAGGTTGGATATGCACAGCACTACATTATATACATAAAGGTAACCCCAGGTAATATCTAACAACCGTACTGTAAACAAAAGACAAATTTAAATCAAAGTCCTTGTTTGACAAAAAATCAGGAAAATCCTTTTTTCTCTAAACATCATCAAAATGTGTTCCTTTTCTGCATTTTGGTTGAGATTTTGTGCATTGATGACATGGACAGAGAACTTTTAGAACTCAGTGCTACTTCCTGAAATGTCAATTTTTTCTTCTCAAACCTTTCCTGGCATCACTTCTCTAATACGGAGAGATAGAATTCTGGACAGGGAATCATAAACTGCCACTTGACTGGTGGAAAACTGATAAATATTTACCAGTGATATTATTTTATAAACAAACAATCAAACTGTCATATACTTTTTTATAATTGTTACCATTTCTCATTCTAGGGAACATTAGCTGCGGACAAAAATGAAATCCTGTTTTCGGAGTTTGATATAAACTACAACAATGAGTCTCTTCTTCACAGAAAAGGAACTACTCTTATTTGGGAAAAGGTAAAAAACATTTGTTTTGATGCTTTTTCCTATTTAGTAATTACCAAAGCCCAACTTGCACATATTTCACACTATATTAGCATCAAAGCTATTTTTATGTGTGGGAAATAAAAAGTAATATTTTATTGTGTCTTTCCAGCATGATGAAACTGTCACTAAACGCATGAAACTTCCTAATCAGGAGGAGAAAGATGTGAATGTGACACGGAGCAGGAAGAGGGTCCAGGCTTATCACTGTGACATCATTGGGGACCAGTTTTGGGAGGAGCACCGGGACATTTTAGAGGACGACAGCTAATGGCCTCTGTCATGGTGTGAAGGATAAAAACATAATACGGCTTAAGTGGATCCATTCAGACAAGACTGTCATGGTATATAGCTGATTGATATGGAATAATGACTAAGAGGATTTTCCCACAAGGACTGGACTTTAAATAACTAAATATTCCCATGGTTTCTCATGACTAAAAGTTGTAGTTAAATATATCCCATTTCATTATATAGTTTTATAGTTTTTTTATTCATATCTTTTACTGTTGAAATAAATCATTTACTCCAAATAATAACACATTCTTGTCAATCATGAGTCAATTTGCATAATTATCGCTTAGTAAAACTACACATTTGAGTAGTCCATATGGATTCTTAAGCATTCAGCCTTGAACTCGAGCATATAAAATACAATAAATAAAAGACTGCAGTGCTCTGGTGTCTGACATACATTATTTTAAGATATGCCTCTATTAACATTACTAGATAAATAAAAAATATTTCTCCTAATGCTTATATAAAACAAAAGCATATATTTCATTCCACATTCCTTCAAGTACACATGCATTCTTGTTAACTGTGCTCAGGACTGTCCAGGGGTTGATTTAAGCAGCAGACAGCAAAAGATAATACCTCGGCTGCACTGGAGCGGCCTTGTTTTGATGCCAGGACACCATTTTGAGAAGTGAAAGGATTCAAAAGCCTGTTGCACTGTCATCAGAGCTAAGAATACCCCACACACCCTGCTCACACACCACCACTCTGCCATGTGCTCCCGGGCATATTTATCATCACACTTAGGAATGACCGCCTTAGTATGAATGGCTGTGCCACACTGTATTTTGATACTGCACAGGGGTCAGTTTCATTTGGATTTACTAGAGCAGTATTTTTGGTATGGTAACCTTGGTCCAAGCATTTCACTCTACTGTATTTGATGTAACTTGGGTCAAGTTACATCAGTTCATTTAAATGAATCAGAGACCTAAAGGTACATTGTGTAACTTTTATGGTGGAGAAGCCGATCAAATGCTTTTCTTTCTGGAAATGTTATTGCTTTGTCTGGAATGGTTCACAGTATGGTATTAAACTTTTCTATCTTCATGAAGATCAACACAGAAAAAGTTACAGGTCAGCTCTATGGAGAGGTGACCCCACTCACAGTCAGAAAGTCAGTTTTTCAAGGAATTTTTGAGCAGAAAATCTGTAATTGATTAAATGTAAGGTAGAGCTGTCATACTGTGGAACATTCCAGACAGAGCAATGACATCTCCATACAAACAAGCAGGTGACGGACCCCCACCCACAAAGTTACATCAGATTACCAATGTCACTGATCATGAATTAACATTGCAAATGTTGCATGGTTGTTGAGGAGAATCATATTTAAATGTGTTAATAATCAAAAACTGCTTTGTGACATATGACTAGATTGGAGATAAATGCCATCTAACTAGAAGACTTTTTATGTTTATATTGACATCTGGCCACTGATTATGAACAACTGTTGCGTTATAGTAATATTGCCTTAGCAGAGAGGTATACTGTTATCAACCATGTCTATTAATTTGAGGCATTGATCCACCATGTTTGTGCTAAAAAGTGCTAAAATATCCGTAGCTACTATTATGGTAAAAACTGCATAAAGTAAACTGACCATTAATATATTTTTCCCATTTCCTATAGACTTTGAGCCCAGTTTAGTTTTGAAGTGTACTTGGTTTGGTCCTGCTCTGGTCTTGGTTCACTCCTGTCCAGGTTTAGTTCCTGGTTTAGTCTCAGTTAAGTCCTTATTTAGATGTAGTGTGTTAGCAACCCTCCCTTTTATGTAATTTGGATCAGTGCAGAAGGCTTATTGATATTCCAGCTCTCAGTCTAATTCAGTTTGAACAAAGAGTTAAATACAGACATAGCCCACTGGACAGCCTCTGTGCAGTTCATTTGGGCTACAGCCAAACCCACACCACAGTGAAACAGCTATTGGAAATAAGAGGTGTTTCGACAGGCAGCGGCACGTTAAGTTATTTAAAGGCACCATGTGTTTTCATTCATGCCACTGTGTTAATGTGTGGTGGCCTCAGAATAAGGTCAGTATTTTTATCTATAATGAGAGCTTTGGTATCTTACACACTGCACAATATTAGCTTAATATGATTTTTTTTAGAAGAATGTAGCTGGTTTCATTATTGTATGTGTGCTAGCCATTGAAATGCAAGTATGTGGAGTAATATATATATAACTGAAAGGTTTTCATTCCGCACTCTTCTCTCCAATTTATGTCTCTCTTTTTTTTATTTTAATCTTCACGATTATTTATGTTTTGATTTGTTTTTATTATGATTTTAATGTATTTCTTATTCTGTAAAGCACTTTGAATTACTTTGTGTACGAATTGTGCTATACAAATAAACTTGCCTTGCCTTGCCTAATATTATGAATGGCATTGCCTGAAATCTCTGCATCTCACTGTATGCATTAAACTTGTCTATCTCCATGGCGACAAGCAGTTGGCACTATCAGAGGAAGTTACAGCTCAGATCTGTGGAAAAGCAATCCCACTCACAGTAAGCCACAGTGCATACCTTGTTTTCTGGGTATTTTTGAGCAATTAAACACATTTTTAATGAGCTATACTTTTAATGCCAAACTGTGGAACATTTTGGGTAAATCAGCAACATGCTTGCCTCTATGTATTGATTTGCTTTGTTCTACAGACTGAACTTAAACTACTCTATAAGACAAGAAGGTAACAAGTTACAGATCAGATCTGTTGAGAGGAGACCCTGCACACAATAAGAATGCATGTTTTTCAAGGTAGCCTATCATTACCTGTAATTGTAATAAATGCATGATCGCTAAATATAAATCCATACTGTGAAATATTCCAATCAAAGCATCGCCTCCATGGAGACAAGCAGGGGTTATATACCAGAAATGTTATACAGTTCACCTTTAAAATAGGTCAATAACAACTCAGTAACATAAATTATCAGTCATGAACTAGGAACTCCAACGGCCTGTATTCGTATAGCCTTGTCTTAATATTCTAAGGACATCTCGTTATTGCTGGCGGGTACACATTTTCATCATATCCTGGCTGCTCTTGCCTCACCTCATCCGATCCGAGATTGTGAAGGGGCGTGGCCGAGATTGAAACGGATCCGTGCGTGCGCCCTGCTGTAAACTGCGTCCTCCAGCTACAGCAGCATCCCATTCACAGCAAACAGAAGACGCGCGTGTATCGCCATGTCCCCTCACTATCACCGGAGGGCTTCACGACAACATCTAATCTCACGTCCTTGAACTAAGTGCACGTTGATGCCTCGGTTCAGTTATAGCGTTTGGAGACGAAACTGTCGCGAGAATGAGCGCTTGTCTTGATGCTGGGCTGTGTGTCGTGGTGCTCCTGTGTGTTGTGGCCGCTCTACCTCAAGGCGCTGTTTACAATGGTGAGTCTAATTTGTACAGTGCTGTTGCAACTGCTAGCTCATCCGTCATTTTAATTCGTTTTCCTGATGCACAGTTTTTATAATGGAGTAGCATTATAGTTTATGCACTGACTGTTGCTTTTATGTTTATTGGTTGCAACTCGTGGTTCAGTCTCTTGGGCTATGCAGGGTTACAAAGAGTAGGATGCTTGTAATTATTTTTAAAACAAAGATGGCATTTGAGAGAACACAGATTACGAATGTCTAATCTTCTTATAAATAACCTTTAACCCATAAATCTATTAAATACATTAAAGGACCCATAATACGCAAGTTTTACCATCTGTTGTAATGTTTCCCAATCCCAAACATACCTGGAGTTGTCTTTTATTTCATTCACACACGTTTAACACAAAAATCTTGCATATTTAGGATGAGTTCTTCTCTCAAACAGAAAATGCCCTGTTCAACCTTGTGATGTCACGTGGTATAAATGCGGTTAGGAAGTGCTCCGCTGTGTTTTTAAACTCATTCACACATTCACCTTCACCAGAATCATGTGGATAATTTCAGTCCTGTAATTTTCAGTCTCTTCTGAACTAAGGGTAAAAGTAACTGTTAACTTGAAAACATCATGACATCACAAGGTGGGATAGAGTATTTTGAGCTTTGGAGATGTAGACATGCTAATGATAGGGAATTATTCAAACATGTATGAATGAAACAAAACACAACTCCAGGTATGATTTTCAAGAGGGAGCAACATTCTCACATGGTTTAAAGCTTAAAGAGTCATTTTTAAGTAATAGAGGACCTTTAAAACCTGCCAGAGCCTTGTCAGTAGAAATAGATACAAACTAAAGTTAAAATTGCATTGCTGCATTTACTACTTGTGTGCCCTTTTGTAGTAATAGATTACTTTAACTTTTATGAAAAAACAACCATACCTATATCATCAAGGATGGCTACTTCAGTATTTCTATTATCATTAATTAACTCATTATTTTTTCCCTCTTCCCTCAGAATATCGCAAACTATCTTGGAGCATCCTTGACCAGGTGCCAGATTACGAGGTTACCTACCCCATCTGGCTGCACCCTCAGAGACACAGGAGGTCGCCCAGTGAGGAGGTGAGTCATATGTCTGTGCAGTTTGACCATCTGTTTTATACAATGAGTCCAGACACAGGTAATAGGTCCACTGTTCTTTAATGAGTGGTTTCTGAGATGATTCATGTTTGGTGTTTTCCCTTTTTGTGTCAGCAGAAACAGCACCCTCCAAAAACTCAGGTCGTGATCACAGCCGAGGGCCAGGAGCTCACTCTGCACCTGGAGAAGAATGAGTAAGTGATGAAAACACAGCTCCATTGATGTACTGTATGAGTTTTATACAGAGAAGTACAATATACAGTAGACTGTCATGATAACAAATTGAAAGTGCGAAATATTGGTGAAGTAATTAAAGATAATAAATGATAATACTGAAATCAAACTATAAAGCAGAATTATCCACAAAAAAGTATTCTAAATGTTCAGTATTGTTAAAAGCGACAAGTTGACATAGCAATAAGTTGACGTAATATTTATCTATCTTATATAGAACAGAGGTGCTCAACTGATGGGTCAGGTCAGTGCCCAAAAGCAGGGTATGATGTAAAAAGCTGGTTTTATTGTATGTCAGTGTCAAAATAATATTGCTTAACTTTAAAAGTGCTATACTTGATTTTTACTGTCCTAAAAACATACAAAACAGATCAAGTTCATTAAAAGTTTGCAGTGATTCAAAGGTATTCCTCATTTACTTTATGCTTCCCGAGCATTTTCTTTTCACAACTTTCTGAGATTGTACTAAGGCAAATTTCACTCAAATAGATGGAAAAATGGGGTACAGGGCCTTTGACAGACTACTTAAATAACTGTAAGGATAACTGCTTGTTCAAAACTACCAGTACATACAATCTAAGGGCACAGAAGTCATGACAAGATTTACTATTTTTGTATTATATTATTTTTATACATATATCTTACCTATATTATCCAGAATACTATATTTAAGGTCAAGAAATGTTCTAGGACTGATTATTGCAATACAGCATCTCAGAAATGTGTTTTATATTTAATTTATTCCCCCAGATATGTCTTGATTTTGACTGTCATAACATTAGGTGGACTGGTGATTTGTGATAACATTGTAGCTGAATCTGTCAGTGAATGAGTCGTTAGAGTATTAATTGATCATTGTCCATGGAGTTCCCTGCCTGTGGTCCATAGTTGTTAAAAAAAAAAAAAAAACATGAGGTAATAATCTATAATTCTTCATAACGGTTCAATAAATTCTCAGCTGTTTTCATTGTACACTGTACATAGTTATATTTTTTCATCATAATATTAATGGGTCACGTGGGAACAGAAACACACTGTTTAAGGGCAAGGCAGGATATAAAAAATATTTTGACATACTTCTGTGAAAATTCTGTGCTAACGTTTGGAACAGGAAGATTTGCAGCATTTCTTTATGATGCAAGTTCTTCTTTGTAAACACTTAAAATATTATGCCATTATCAATGAGGAAGATTGAATGAAGCAAGTTGTCTATATCAAAATTAATTAAATTTTACTACAAACAAAGATTCAGTCATTTCATTGATATGCTTTGACCTTTTGTAATTGAGAGGAGAGGTCTACAGCCAATCCTTTGTGAGTAAAAGCCACAAACTGTATAAAGTTGTGGACTAAGAGAGTGTGACATCACCCATAGTGTTTGGCTCCAGTCAAATGAAACTCATGAGTCTAGCAGTTTTCAGGATGAATTTGGACCTGAGTTCCATATCAGAAATAGGAATTAATTTATGGACAAAATAGCAAAATAAAATACTAGGATCATGTAGAACTAAAATATGACCATTTTAAGATCAAAATGAGGAGCCTGACGGCAGCAGTTGTTTAGAGAGACCTATAATTTTTTCAATACGAAGTGATTGGAGTCGATGGAGCCGTACACAATTCCTACTTTGAACATGACAGCTAGCAGGATAACTACAGTATGTCCATTTATATTTACAGTACTGTATATACATAATAAAAGCATGTGATTTAGAGCAGAGTTAATGCTTTTGATAATTTTGATAATTAATTTTGAAAGTTATTGTTATTTGTTTTAATAAGACATAAGAAAATCCCTGTGTGAAACCATCATAGGATTCACACCAATTAAGTGCATGGAAAGGTCCATTCTTAACTTTTCACTGACTTTAGATTAGCTCCACTTTGCCCACCATCTGTTTGTTGATGGATTAGGTCAGAGCCCCTGTGTTTTTGAGATGCTGGTTCAGAGGAGGTGATGGCGTTTAGTTTGCTGAGGTTGTTGACACCTGATCTGTGTGCCTCTGTCTAACAGGAAGTAAGATTATTCTTAACCTAATGTTGCTTAAGCAGATAGAGCAGATCCTAGGGTTTAACAGCCAAATTATTTGCGTAAATGAGTTCTAAATTAAATATTAATTTGAGTAACAACACTGCCGAACATTGTTGCTTAAACGTTTATTACTATGATTTAGGGACTGGTATCAAAATAATCTTGAGGTTTCATATGTACAGAAATGTATTAATTTTGTGTCTTGACTTGTTTTACACTAGTCACAGTTCCTTTAAAAATACTTTTAATCCAGAATTGGGGTGGCTGAATAAGGGAAGATAATGTAGCTGCATGAGGAAGTGCATCTGGTCTAAAATCAGAGGCATATCAGTTGGGCAGATGATTTACTGTAGCAATGACCCCAGAGAAAGCCATTGAAAGAAGACATATAATATTTTTTTCTAGTATCGCCTATTGACTTAGCTCACAGTACATGTAGTCTGTGTGTGTGACTCCAGTGCGTCTGCGGGACTGTCCCCTCAGGGATTTGCCCCCTGTTCTGCCTCTGCCCCAGCAGGTGGTCACTATGTTAGATTTCCTTTTGGGACTGGAATTTTCATTAATCACATATGCCCAGTGTGTCTGTGTGCATGTCTTTGTATAGACTTTGGTGATATTGGGTTACAGTGTATTTGAGAAGATGGGTTTGCATTGTCCCCCAAAACTAATGGGTTTCTGAAATTTCAAAGTGGATTTAAGTAAAGAAATCTTGTGGGGGTAGATAAGACACATTGCACGAGGTGTGTTTTGCCTTTAAAGGTAATAATCTCACTATTTTGAGGTTTATGTGAAAACAGGAAATAACACACTGGAAACTTTTATGAAATCACTGTGCTAATTTGGTGTACAGGAAATATGAGTAAATAGTTCTTCTATGTATAACTAATGAGTAAATAGTTCTAATTACTAATGCACAGTGAAATCCCCGAAAAAAAAAACTGTCATGTATTGAACAATAAATTGATATAGTAATTATTGTGACAATCTATAATCTGCATATTATATATATATCAACCACACAGCTATTATAATAACAAAGAGAAAAAAATATGAATGGTATAAAAAATTCAAAATTTTAGCAGAAATAGCAAGAGACTGGTGTCAAACAAGGCATAATAATACAAATGTATATGTACAAGTAAAAATAAAATCTAGAAATATAGTAATTAAAATATATCTCAGCTATATAAGGCGGTATGGAAAATGATGATATGATGATGACATGACATAGGGTTGAGGACTTTTCATTATTCTATTATTAAGATTTCAGAATATTTTTGTTTTGAAGTAATTGCAAATATTTGCTGTGGCGACAGTCCTAATTTTCTATTATTTAAAACCCATGAACAACCAAGCCAAAGTTTGATTTGTTGTATTAAAACACTTTAACCACAAATGAACAGTTTACGATCACCCCCAAAGCTTCTGCTGACTCGCTAATTGCTACATGCTAACTCAGTGCCACATCTGGTTTTAACACATCACATGTACAGCTTTGAATGAAATTCTTGAGTAGTCTTCTGGAGCTGTCTGGACTGAAGCCAGGGTCTGTAGCCTCTCTGTTTCTCCCTCCCTGTGTCCTCGCTGCCCCCGCTGCAGTTAACATGACACTGCAGGAGATAAGAGACGCTATTTCTTTATCTTATCTCCCAGTCTGAGCCCATGCTGTGCTCTTCATCTCTGTCCCACTGTCTCCAGCCACACAGAAGTTTAGGAAGTCCAGTGTGTTAAGTTGAACCCTTTATTAGACAAGTTTATGACTGAAAACTGTAATGTACGACTCCTGGTTTAGTTCTAGGACTTGGTGTATTCATTGAGATTTGGACTGAGCAACTTTAATCCTGGTTTACCTCATTTACACATGATTCCATTCTGGTTTGGACTTCATTTAGCCCTCAGATAAAGCTGATCCAAGTGTGTTATTTAGCTGTTATTTATCACTGAAGTAACCAAACATGTATGTAAGTTAAAACATTAAGACACTTTCTGGGTCAATTATGACCCTTAAATACTTATTATATCAGCATATATGTCCAAACAGATATCAACTGAACTGAAATTTGGCAGCCGATATTCGATCCAGCTAATTTTTATTACTGGCCTCAATGTATCCCTATTGCTGACATTTGAAATGAGTAGCTTCAGTTCTGGGCTAGGCTTGGTTTACACATGATTTAGTCCTACTACTTTAGACCAGGTTGATTTTAGATCTGTTTTAGGCTGGTTTATCCTAGTTTATCCCTATTCATGGGCTGCTGATCTGAATAATTTATTTCCCAGTTAAAAATATAACATTTTTAGATTTAAATTGCTCAGTCGCTTTGGCAACAGAGAACTGGTGTCATAGGTCCCAAACCCATGAATATGATCAAGACCAATGTTTAGTCTTTGTTTAGTTCTAGTTGAACATGGTTTATTCATGAATTAAATATGGTTTGACCCACTTTAGTCCTAGTTTAGACCTGTTTAAACTTGTTTTTGTTTAATTTGTCTCTTAGGGTTTTTTAAATAGATAATGTTCTTTAAATTTGCACTATGTTAACATTAAACAGCTCTACCTTACATTTATTCAGTTAAAGGTGGTTTTATAGCTCAGAAATACCTAGAAACACAGGCATTCTGACTGTGAACATGCTTGCCTGTCCACAGAACTGACCAGTAACTTGATCTGGTTTGGTTTCCATGATGATAGAAAGGTTTAATACTGACATTCCAGACAAAGCATTAACATCTCCATGGACAAAAGCATTTGACGAACCCTTCACCTGAAATGTTACTCAATGCACCTTTAAACGAAATACTTTTGCATTGAGCATGTAACAAGTTAGTTTAACCCATTGTAAGGCTATATTATTCCATGTCCTATTTAGCACAGAGTCATGACTGCCTACCCCTTACACTGCCTTGTTCACTTCAGCCTCTGCACTT